AACAAAATTGAGACCCCCATCTCTAAAAATAGCCAGGCATTGTGGCAGGCAACTGTAGTGCCAGGTCCTTGGGAGGCTGAGGCAAGAATATCACTTGTGCTCAAGAGCTTGAGGTTGCTGTGAACTATGACGCCATGGCACTCTACCAAGGGCAACAAAATAAGACTCTGTCTCAAAAAAGAAATAACACATATGTCAGAGCAGTGCATTAATATTAAGTGTCAAGTTCTTCAAGGAAATGTTTAGCATAGGGCATTAGATGAAAAAAAACTGGTCATAAAACGAGACTATGAGCCCAGTTATTTTTTAAGTATTATTCATACAGGTTGAGCATTCCTATTCCAAAAATGCAAAATCCCAAATGCTCCAAAATCTGAAACTTTCTTGGTATTGACACAGACAAGTGAGATAGACACAACTGAGTGCTTTCTGATGATTCAAGGTATACAAACTTTCTTTCATGCAGGAAACTATTTAAAATATATAAAAGTACCTTCAGGCTATGTGTATAAGGTCTATATGAAACCAAAATGAATTTCATATTTAGATTTGGGTCCTAGCCCCAAGATATCTCATTATGTATGTGCATGTATTCCAAAATCTGAAAAAATCTGAACTCCAAAACACTCTGGTCCCAAGAATTTCAGATAAGGAATAGTCAACTTATATCAGAAAATCCTGGCAGGATAGCCACTGAAATGTCAACAGTGGTGATCATTGAGTAGTTACACAGCCAGCGATTTTAACTTTTTTCTAAATGCTTTTCTGATTCTTCCAAACTTTCTGCAACAAATAAGTGTCACTACTATAATTGGGGAAAGAATGATTGAGGTTTTAAATGTACCAAACAAGATAAGAAAAAGGGGAAAAAAGAAAGAGGTCCTAGGGTCTGAGGCATGTATCGTTGGTACCAGGAATCTTATAGACATCCTGTCATCTGATCATCCTATTTCTATCCTATAGATGGAAAAAAGCCAACACAGACTCAGAGAGGTGAAGCAGCTTGCTCCGGGTCACATAACCAGTGATGCTGGGAGCCAAGGTCTTTCTGGGTCCACAGCCCAGGCTCATTCCATCCCACTGCTTGTACACATATTGTTAGGTCCGAAAATTCTCCCAAACAGCCCCAACAGACGAATCCGAGACACACTCCCATGTAAAAGGCATGAGGTGAGGTTTTTATTCAAACCTGGGTTTGGACTCTCCTAGTGTACACACCAAGGAAGAGCCCTGAACCCGGGGTGTGTGGGGTTTTTATGGGGTACAGAAAGCAAAAAAAGGAGAGAAGGGTATGAGTACACTTTTGATTGGTGGTTAGTGACTTCACTAGCAAAGTTACAGTCTTGATTGGTGATCGATGATTTCACTAGTAAAGGAGTTTGGATTGGTACAGGTGATGGGTGGGGGGGATTTCTTAACCGGGGCCTAGGGTCGTGGCAGCTTGATTAGGTGGCTGGAGGGAAATTACCTGTCAGGATAATAGAAACTCATTGTTTATTGTGGTAAGGTGACTCAGTTAACAAGGAAATGGGAACTTATGGCTCTGTTGCCCAAGGTGGCATTAATGATAGCTGCAGTTAAGCAACTAGGAATGGAATGAGAAAAGACTGCAGGGTGCGGCCCTGCGGGCTAGGGGCTTAGGAACAGTACTTTTGCAGTAAACAACAAAATGGAGCTGGTCTGGTTCTCACAATATTTAGAATGGAAATCCTTTTTAAAATACCAAGAACAGGGCTTCTAGACTTGATAACTGGCCCTGTATATAACACAGTGAGAAGGAAGCATGATTCTGCCTGTTGCTGCATCTTTGGTCATCTGTGTTTTGAATGCATGTGCACAGGGGTCTCCATGAGGTGGGTAGGGCAGGAACAATCCCCCATTACCTTGCTCTAGAGCAAACACATTGCCTCACGAGGGAAGTGAACCCTGGTATGGTTTGGCAAGCTGCTCCTCCCCCTACTTTTCTTTTAGCCCCCACAACCTCTATCCTCCCTTCCCCCAGAAGTAGTGAAAACCAGGAGCCATGATGCCAGTGAGACCAAAGAGGAAAATCTCAAACAAAGAAATGAATTCAGTTTTAAAGACAGTGTGTAAATGAGACTGGAGGCACCTGAATGGGGCACGGTTTCCCCCAAGTTGACCTGAGTGGGCTGCTGGGGCAACTGGGGCTTCACCTGAAAAGGGTAAACGCCGTTGGCTCTTCCACTTGCCTGAGCTCCCAGTACCTAGAGAAAATTGCCAAAGACAGCCTGCTGGAAGGAAAGAACTAGATCAACTTTTATTTGGTCGTGAAAGAGGTAATACATACTTTAATTTGTCCAAAAGGTACAAAGGAGTAGCAATAACGAATGTCCTTCCCACCCCTATTCTGCATCCTCCTCCACCCTTCCTGTCTGGTCTCCATCTCCTCCTAGCAGGCAAACATGCTGCCTAGCTTCTCTTAAGTCCTTCCAGAGAGGACTTGCATATGCAAATGAGAATCAAATCTAAAATCCACTTCTTCCCCTTCCTGCAATTGCAGATAATGTTGAAGAATGGAGCCAGCAGCCCTGGGCTCAGTCACTCTGTGCACCCAGAAGCCCATCACCCAGCCTCTCTGGGCCTTGTTTTTCTCATCTGTAAAATGGGGTAAAATTCACCTCCCAAGGTTTCTGTGTGGATGAAGCTGGATGGAAAACTATATGAATTTCAATGTTGGATTTTAAATACTAAAAATAAATGGCCCCAGTTGCTGTGAGGAGGAAGTGGGGTTTGAGGCATCCTCAGATCCCTAAGGGTGTTATAGCTTCTCCAGGAGAAGGGTGACAGCCTCCTCTGTGACACAGAGGCTACAGGCCTCACCCAGAGGTATGGCTTTGTCTTCTGGATCTGTAGACGACATTTATGACTTAGAGACCTGAGGCCTTTGTTTCTCTGTCACATGCTGGTCTTGGGGGCTATCCCCTGCATCTCCATCATGAGTCCTCTGTTCCCACTCTAAGGTCAGATTAAGGGCCTTTTCCACTCTTGAGTCAGGGACATCTTCACAGGACAGAGAAGTCACTGACATTGGCCCAGCCAACCAGTTGTCAATTAACCACTGCAACTCTATCTGGGAATCCGGGGTTCAGGACCTCGGAGAGAGAAACTGACACAGACACTGAGAGCTAGGGGAGCCAGGCAGTAGATGGGTGACAGATTCCTTTACAAGGTTAGCCATGAGCAGGGCCTGAAACAGTGTCATCTGGTCAAGGTCTAAAACAGAAGACATTCTACAAATAGCTCTTCAACTCCTGTTGGGTACAAGACCCTGGGTGGGATCATTTGTCTGTCTTTCCATCCACCCATCTGTTTGTCTTTCTAAAACTGCCTGCTGAGGCCTAGCCAGAGACAAGCCCTATCCTTGGCACAAGGCCACATCCTAAGATGAATCAGATTGGGCTGGCTAGAACCACTGAGTGGAAGACAGAGGACATACCAGGTGGAGGGCACAGCAAGGACCAGGGCTTGTGGGTGGGAAAATGTTGGGCCACGGCAGGCACTGAGGTTGAGTGCAGGGTGGAGGTCTGAGTGCTCAGCAGGTAGACGGAAGGTCATGGGGAGGCAAGGAGAGGAGGGACAAACCACAAGCTATAGAGGGATGGGCAAAGAATCCATGAAAGAGGAAGCAGCGGAGAAAAGAGAGAGAGGGTGGGAGGCAGGGCCTCAGACTTGGGTCATGGGGAAGCTGCTGGTGTCCGTGGGTCTATCTATCCCCGCGCCCTTTGATGGCACTCCTCCCCTTGCCCGCTTTGGGTCTCTGGTCAAGGGTTTGAATTGCCAGCGCTATCCACCCATGTACCTCAGGGCTCCCAGACTTCCACATTCCCACATTCTCAGGACCACCTTGTCCCCAGCATCAAGGGAAGGGGCCATGTGTCTGTAGTGAGACAAACTGGGAATTAATCCTTCACTCCCTAACCAGATGACCTTGGGGAAGTCACTTCACCTCTCTGGGCCCCAGTCCCCAACTCTGTCAAATAGAGCTACTTAGAAGCACTCAGTTTTGTAGAGTAGCTGAGAGGGTCAGACCACAGGAAAGTCTGGCCAAAGTGTGGCCCGGTACCTGCCACAGCATCTGGGAAAAGGCGGACGCTCTAGTCCAGGGCACTTGATGGTCAGTGCAGTTTGCAGGTATAGAGAGACTTTCCGACTCAACTCGGGACTCAGAGCCCACGTCCCCACGGTGGTATTTACAGGTCAGGGACAAGCATGTGGGGAAACTGCGCAGTCCTTGCATGGGCGGCCTCTCAGCTCCAAGTCCATACACATGCTGAGGGAAAGGAGGGAGAGGTGTCCAGCTAGGGCGGAGGTGGAAGGTGCGGGGAGAGGTCTACCTCCCCCGGTCCCCCCCCCCCAGTCTCTACTGGGGGCGCCACAGGCCTGCGGGGCGGGCGGGGGCGGGTCCCCCGGGAACTGCTCCTCCTGCCTGCCGCTGCTTTAAGAGGCTGCTCCGCGGCTGCGAGCGGGGCCGGAGCCACAGCCGGAACGAGCGGACCGAGCCGAGAGGCAGGTGCACGGTTGCGGGACGGTTAGCGGCATGACCGGCCACCACGGCTGGGGCTACGGCCAGGACGACGGTAGGAGCAGACCCCGGCCGACACGGACCCAACTGGACTCGCCCTAGCTCTCGCACCCAGACGGGTTCCTGGATCCGCAAGCCCCCACCCTCCAGGCTGGACCGGGACTCCTCTCCCGTCCAGATCCCCAAACCCGACCCAAGCCCTGGTGCCCCCCGCGCCGGGCGCAAAGTCCGCCCTGCGCCCGGGCTGGCCCCGCCGCCTGCGAGTGATCTGGCTGCTGAGCGCGTCCTGCCGCCTCCTCCGCGCAGTCCCTGACTGCCCTGCCCGCTGGGCCCCGGGCCCCGACACTCACGCGCTCTGCCGGGGCGTGCGCAGCGCGTGGAGGTGGCCCAGGGCAGCTGGGGGCGGTCGCGGCGGAGCGCTGTGCGCGGGTGTCGGTGCGGGGAGCACGCACGGCGTGTGTGCGGGGACCTCGGGGGAGCTGGGCTCCGCGTGGGCAAGGGCGCAGTGTCCCCAGGAGAGTTTCCCCGCAGAAGTGTCCAATCTGCCTTGTCGGCTGGTACGTGGGGGAAGGGGGTGTTTGGGGGCGGACGCATGTGTCTGGGTGTCTATAGCAAGCAGAGTGTTTGAGCACGTCTGAGGAGTGGGAGCCAGCGGCCCACACTATCCTCCTGCTCTGACCAGGAAGATTGCTCCTTCACCTTGCCTCAGTTTCCTGAGGATGCAGACAGAGAAGAGGCAGAAAGTGAGAGCCAGACGGCTTGAGCGTGGGTCTGGGGCAGGTCAGCTCCCTTTTGGGCCATTTCTTACCAAGCAAAAATTGGGGTGACACGGCGGCGTAAGAGCTTCCCCGTTTCCCTGAGATGAACAATGAGGACCAAGAAGCAGGGAAACAGCTCAGGGGAGGTGGGGAGAAGAGAAAGCTTTGATGGGAGGAGCACCCCCAGCCCCATTTTCCCTGGGAAAGGTAGTCGCTTTGTGAAGAGGGGGCTGTCCCGGACTACAGTTTGGGGAGACAGAAAGTTGCAAAGGACCAGAGGGACTCAGGGAGGTGTGTTCAGTCTGGCTTCCTCTGGGACCTCAGGGGCAAATATTTTGGAAGAGAAACCCAGATCTGGGAATGAAAGAGCTGGAAACATTCAGAAAAAGATGACAGAGACCAGCAGAGATGGAGACAGAGGCAGAGGAGGGGCAAGTTGACAGAACCCATAGATGTCTTTCCCTCAGTACCTACTCTAATGTGCTTCCCCTAGAGTCAGAGTCCTTTGACTCCAGGCTTTCTTGCTAGTCCTATCCACCAGCTCTGAGCACCCAGTAGGATGGGTCTGCCTCATGGGCCTGCTACCCTCAAGCAGCTGCCCCTCGCCCAGCCAGACCAGGGCTTCCAGTCTAGGGACAATGAGGAAGGAAAGGACAGAGGACAGAGGTGCCGGCATGCGGCAGTGCTCACAGGCCTTCAAAAATAACCCAGCGGGGCTGGGCCACAATTCTGAGTCATCCATTGGGGACACAGCTCTGTCGGCACCTGCTGCTGTTTTCTCAGGAAAACTTAAGAAGCCAAAAAGGGGGAGAAGCACCAGCCGGCAGTAGCTCTAAAAATAGGCTGCATCTCAGGATGTTCCCCAGGGAGATGCAGAGCCTCTCGGCTGCAGATGGATCCTCTGGGAGGCAGGTGGTGGGTGCTCGTGGGTGTGATGCAGGTGTGCGTGTGTGTGCATGCATGGGCATGTGTTTTGCTGCGGTCCCTTACGTGTGCAAACTTGAGTTTCCAGTAGGGGATGTTTGCATGTGAGGGTACATATGTGTGTGCTAGGTTTAGCCCGCAGGGTTATGTGTGTGTTTATATACATGCGCATTCTGGGCCCATTGAGCCCAGGTCATTGTGCACATGCGTGTGCACATATGAAGATCTCCACAGACTTGTAGGCACAGGCATGGTGAGGGAAACTGGGGGTATTACACGCACGTGCTGTGTTTATACTAGGGTGTGTGTGTGCACATGCTTGAGTGGCCCTGGGTTCCCTCATTTGTGAAATGAGGATCATTCTAGCTTCTGTTTCACAAGTTGGTTGTGAGGAGCAAATATGTGTCCCAGAGCTAAAGCTAGACTGATGTGAGTTTTTTATATTATTATCATAAACACTAATATTAAATTGCTCAAAGTGCTGGAAGAAGCAAGATTCCATATAGAGTCAGGTCAGAGATTTCATATACGTAGTGGCCTCTCTGACATAGTGTTGGGGGTCTGGGGTTGGGGGAAATCTCACTACTCAGAACCACTCCTGAGCCTGTAAGCTGTGTTATGTTCCTTTCCATGCATGACCTCTCTGGGCCTCCTGTCAGCATTGGGAGGTGAGTTTTAGTGAGATCACTTCATAGACAAGGAAATGGAGGCTGAGAGGGGAAGTGTCAGAGCTGGGATTGGAACTTTGGGCTGTGCAGCCCCAAAGCAGGGACTTACCTCTGAAAGGATGCCAAAGAGACCATAGCCCCTGGGTGTCCTTAGCCTGCAGCCCAGAGATCTTGGCTGGCCTGAGTCCTTGCCCCCCTCCCCACCTGCAGGCCCCTCGCATTGGCACAAGCTGTATCCCATTGCCCAGGGAGACCGCCAATCACCTATCAATATCGTATCCAGCCAGGCTGTGTACTCCCCCAGCCTGCGGCCACTGGAGATTTCCTATGAGGCCTGCATGTCCCTCAGCATCACCAACAATGGCCACTCTGTCCAGGTAGACTTCAATGACAGCGATGACCGAACCGGTAAGTGGCCCCTGCCAAAACCCTGTGTGCCTGTGCCCACTGGGGTCCTAGCCCTGTGTTAGGCAGGTTCAGGAGGGGCAGCATCCTGTGGTAGGTAAGGAAGGCTCCACCTCTCACCTCTGTACAGCCCTGGACTGAGCCTCAGTCTCCTTATGCATAAAATGGGAGCAATAACACCTACTCTTTAGAGTCATATTGAGGAAAAATGAAAAAAAGAAGTGACTTTTATAGTTCTGACACACAGCAGATGTTTAAGAAATGCCAATTCCCTTCCTTCCCTTTCATTTAGTGTTTCAGATCAGGTTTGCTTTCACTCCCTGCCCCATCACTGACCTGTTTTGTGGCCTAAAGCCAAACCCTCCTCCCTGTGTGATCTAGCCAAGCCCAGCAGGGAGAGCGAAAGAAGGTAAAATTTCTCTGTGCCAGGTCCTTTGCTAAAGTCTCAGTTAGCTCATTTATTCCTCTTAAGAACCCACCTCTCAGATGAGCAAAATGAGTCTTGATGAGCTAGGGATTGGCAGAACAAGTGTGTTCCAGCTCCAAAGGTCTCTCTCTCCAATTCACCCATCACCTCAAGATCCAACTATCTTGTGCCAGAAAGAAGCTGGTAGGAACTCGTGGAAGTTCCTTCCAAGCCTCTTTGCCCTGGGATTACAGTCCAGGTTTTTTCACTATAAATTCCTAGGCAGAGGCCTCAAGAGTGTTGTTCAGTGGAGATTTTTCTCCTTATGATGAGGACTGGGGGAGGGGGTGATAGAGTAGGGTAAGGAGTTTCTTGTATTCTGCTAGTTTCTTGTGTAAGGAAGTGACTGATTCTTTGCCCCCCTCTCTCCCCTACCCACAGATACCATGAAAGCACTCAAGGGAACTTTATTTCAAATAGAAAATCAAAATGCAGAAAAGATGAGGGAAGCTAGGCCTTTCACTAGAAGAGTGAGCTTTTTTTTTTTTTTTTTTTTGAGGCAGAGCCTCAAGCTATCCCCCTGGGTAGAGTGCCATGGCATCACGCTTCACAGCAACCTCCAACTCCTGGGCTCAAGCGAGTCTCCTGCCTCAGCCTCCCAAGTAGCTGGGACCACAGGCGCCTGCCACAACGCCTGGCCATTTTTTGGTTGCAGCCATCATTGTTTGGCGGGCCCGGGCTGGGGATATGAACCTGCCACCTTAGGTGTATGTGGCTGGCACCTTGGCGGCTTGAGCCACAGCCGCCGAGCCTAGAAGAGTGATCTTAGGTGCTTAGTCCTGAGTTCCCTGGTAGGCTAGGAAAAAAGAGGAAAAGGATCAGTTACAGTTCTTGCTGCAGAAGGAAAGGAGTCTAACAGATCCTTATGATAGAAATAAGTAATTTCCTGATACTGATATCTAAGAAAATCACCCTGAGCTTGGGGAGGGGACATAGGACTCTAGATGATCCTAGATGACAGTTTATAAAGGAGCCATTTTCATGTGATTGTCCTTTTAATAGCCTACAGAGGGCAGTGAGGGCTTAACTCAGACATGAGTAGCTCAGTGAAGGCCACTGGGGTGGGGGAAACCCCAAGTGGTCGTCATACCTTTGGATCACTGGGCTGGGTCTCACATTTAGGACTGGCTGGGGCTCCTTTCCTTGCCAGAATTCTCAAGCCTGAGGGTGCAGGGAGCCAATGAAATGAGAAATGAGATGGTTGGAGCTCTGCCACTCACCCACTGTGGGTTGCTCTGGACGTCAAATGGGTTGATGCCAGCAGAGTACCAAACACATAGTGAGTGCACTGTGGGTGGCAGTACATCCTATGGTCTGAAAGGAGGGAGGAGGCTAAGGGAACCAAGCTCAAGGGGTTAGGAAAGGAGTTGTTCCACCCCAGAGCACACTATGGGGTCCCAGGTGGGGCATACTCAGAGGGTGGGCCCCATACATACTTATCTTAGCTGCTCCTGCTTCCTGGGGATGGGACAGTCTGATTGGAGCCCTGCCCAGAGCCACTACCCCACCCCCCAGATTCCCTTTTTTGGACTCCTAGCATTGCCCAGGAGACAGTCCCTGCTTTTCAGATAAGGCGAGACAGCAAGCATGGGCTTTTGGATTATCCTGTCGTTGTCCTCCTCCTCCTCCTCCTCCTCCTCCTTCTCCTCCTTTTTCTTCTCCTCCTCCTTGAGGGTCCACAAGGGCAAAGCCCTAGTCTGATCACCATCACAGAGGGGCCTAGTGGAACTCTGAGCCTGGGCCTGTCACCTGATCCAGGGGCTCACATTCAGGTCTGGCTGGGGTTCCCCTCACTGCCAGATCCCTTTCAGCTGGAAATTCTATCAGTCCCAGGAAGCCTAGTGTGTGGCCCCAGCTTACCAGGTATCAAGGTGAAAAAGTCACAAAACCAGCACAAATGGGGCCCTCCAAAGAGGCCATTTGTGGGAGAAATGCCACTGGAGGCACGTGGGCCTGGCCAGAAAGGTGGGGACCCTGAGGACCTGGCCTCCTCCTTTGGGAAACACCAAGTTTAGGTTTAAGGTTCTAGGGAGGCAGCACAGCCTGGTGATTAGGGCTTGGGCTCCAGAAATAGGAGGTACAAGTTTATACCCTACCTCAGTGCCTTACTATGTGACCTTGGCCAAATGCTTTGCTCTCTCTGTGCCTCAGCTTCCTCTTTATAAAATACAGATAATAATAGGTTCTGTCCCTCCTGGGCTATTGAGGACTAAACAAAATAATCCTTCTGACCCACTTCTGGTCTGGGTCAGAGTTTCAGACATGGGAAGCCTAATTGTTAGTGGGGGCCTGGGAAGCAGGGTGCTAGCCTCCATGGGAAGTCAGGCAGGAGTGAGAAAGAAGGCCAGACAGAGAGCTGTACTCTGTCAGTCCCAGATCTCTCTGCTACCTGCAGGCTGTTGGGATTCTGCCCTGGCTTAGCTCAAGGGCTGAGGGAGCTGGTAGGGACTGATTTAAGCCCAGTCAGCCCAGTGAATTTTTCAGATGAAAAATGTATTCCCTTCTTGGGCTGCTGCCCTGATCTTGGCACTGCCAGCTATGGGCTGTGTGATCCTCTCCTACCAATTGCCACATGCCCCACTTCTACCCACAGTGGTGACTGGGGGCCCTCTGGAAGGGCCTTACCGCCTCAAGCAGTTCCACTTCCACTGGGGCAAGAAGCATGACACGGGTTCAGAGCACACAGTGGACGGCAAGTCCTTCCCCAGTGAGGTAAGGGCCCTCCACCACTTAAATCCTCTGCTACTTGGGGAAGGAATATGGGCCTGGATGGTCAGGAGCTGAGGGTGCCCAGGGTGGGATTCTGGAGAAGGGGAGAAGGACCACCAGGGCCTCTGAGAGAGCCTCTGAGCTCCAACACAGAGCCTTCCCTCAACTGTGCCTGCTGCTCTCCTGGTCTATGTGTCCAGAAGGAATTTTCTGAAGGGCCAATCAATCCAGTCTCAATACACCCTTGCTGACAACCATTCAAGGTTGAGCTTGGCATTCAAGGCCTCACATGAACTAACTTTGCCTGGCCTCGTCTCCTACCTGACCTCTTCCCACATTGAGCTGCATGGAATGAATCCCTTGTCCACACCTGGCTTCTTCATGCTGCCAAGCTTTGGCCTAATCTGTTCTCTCTGCCTGGAATGCCTTTCTCTAAGGCTTCCCTCTGACAACCCCCTACTTATTCCATGACTCAACTGCAGGCAACACCTCCTCAGGGAAGTGTCACACTGGATGGCCATCATCTACTTCCCAGCTAGTTCACTGAAAGGCAGGGCCCAAGCTGAGTTCTTTTTTGAGTGCCCTGAGAGTCAGGAAAAGATTGGGTTCCAAACTGGGCAGATGCTACCTGTGGTCTTGTGGGGCTTTTGTGGGGCCTCCAGGATCCCAAGCCTGGGAGGTTTCATAGCCTCCCCCTCCTATGAAGCGGCCAAAAGTCAGGCACAAATGAGGGAAGCCTGGATCAGAGCTCCCACTTCCCCTTAGAGGTGCTAAGTGCTGGCCTATTGTTGCCCCATAGCTGCATCTGGTTCACTGGAATGCCAAGAAGTACAGCACCTTTGGGGAGGCAGCCTCAGCCCCTGATGGCCTGGCTGTAGTTGGCATCTTTCTGGAGGTGAGTGGTGGTTCCCTTAGGGCCACAGGTATATAGGAGGCCTGGCACTGCCCCTAGTTCTGGAACACGGTGGGCTCTGGTCTCACACTACTCTCTCCCTGTCAGACAGGGGATGAGCACCCCAGCATGAACCGTCTGACAGATGCACTCTACATGGTTCGGTTTAAGGTGAGACCAGGGATCAGTTTCTCTAACCCAGAGCAGCCTGGTGGTTTGGGAGGAGGAAGCTGGATCATGGAGTGGGCCCATCCTGTCCCTTATTCTGGCAGCAAACCATTGCTGAGACTGGTGTGGGGGGTGGTCAGGACCTGTAGGGTCCTGCACCTGGCTCTTCATCAGGATTAGAGGCCTCACTGGGTACCCTCATGCAACCTGGGTGGGGATGGGATTGATAAAGATGCTTATCACGTTAATGGTGGTCTGACAGGCAGCCCTACGGAGGGCAGCTGAATGCAAGGGAGGGCACATGGTAGCCAAAGAGCTCCAGGCACCGCAGTTTTTACATACAAGCAAATGGGCATAGAAGAGGCTGCCTAGGCTGGAAGATGGCATCGTGGATCATAGATGTTTGCCCAGGATTTGCATCAATGGACCATGGTGAAGCCTAAATCCTGCTGATAGAAATGGGCGGGGAAGCTGCAGTTCTGGTCCTCGTGGGAGGTATGCTGATTCCTGGGTTCCCCAACCCTGTCCCAGGGCACCAAGGCTCAGTTCAGCTGTTTCGACCCCAAGTGCCTCCTGCCTGCCAGCCGGCACTACTGGACCTACCCCGGCTCCCTGACAACTCCGCCACTCAGTGAGAGTGTCACCTGGATTGTGCTCCGGGAGCCCATCCGTGTCTCTGAGAGGCAGGTGAGTCCTCCCAGAGCACTCAGGGTCCATTCTGGTAGGGTGACTCTCCCAGCCACTAACCTACAGCCTGTGGTCTCACCATCAAGGCTCCTTCCCATATTTTGTTAACAAACTTTTAGATTCTTGGCTGAGAGTTAGCTTGATTGTTAATCATTAGGATTTAGACACAGGCTGGGAGAAGAGATCCCTGGATCTTGGGACCAGCCCTTGTCTGTTGGAATCTGAATGCTACATTTGCTGATGTCTTAACCTAGTAATGCTTAAAACTAGAATGGGGTGGAGCAGGATCTAGGCTCAGAGGCCCTTAGAGAGTTAAGTAACTGAGTTGGGGTCCCTAAGAGGTAAATAAGTGGGGGAGATTAGGGGCAGGAAGAGGAAGGAGTAGAGCTGGCTGGGCAGGGGATGCCCTATAATGCATCTGGGGCCATAGAGGACCCACTCTGTCCTGAACCTCCCTTCTGTTTTCTCAAGATGGAGAAGTTCCGAAGCCTGCTTTTCACCTCAGAGGATGATGAAAGGATCCATATGGTAAACAACTTCCGGCCACCACAGCCACTGAAAGGCCGTGTGGTCAAGGCCTCCTTCCAGGCCTGAGCTGCCCAGCTGGCCACTAGGGCAACATCTTCCCAAGGGCTTCCACGTCAGCAGACACCAAACCATCTGAGGCTTCCTGCCTGGGGGGTGCTATGGACCCCTCTTCAGCCAGCTTGCTCCTTGACGACCCTGGAGGCTTCTTGATGGGACCCTAGAGTTTGGGGCACCCGTCAGCTGCTCTGGGGACAGGAAGGACAGGAGTTGAGCAGGGGTCCAAACCTGGGGCTGCCTCTGCTCTCTACGACCCAAAGGCCCCTGGGAACCTTCTTTTGTCTTCCCCACTGGTAGTGGCAGCTACCCCATCCTGAGCTCACACTGTGATGGATGCGACCAAGCTCCCTGGAGTAGGCAGCTGGCACTTCCAGAAAGACTCAAGCAATAATTAGAGGTGGGCAGAGCTGCCCTCTCGGCATTACCTCTTCTGCAGGCCTCTGCCATGCACGCACCTCACTGCCGGGCCATTAAAATCAGCACCCAGCCCGCTGGAGGTGACTTGGCCTTCTCCCTCCAGCCTCCTGCTACCATAGGCAGGCTCTGGCTACAGCTTATGTAGTATCTCCCCTTGTCCCCACCCAGCCACCAAAGCCACCTACATAACAATCCATTCATGTTTAATTAATAAATTCATGTATCCATGCAACAAATACCACTGGAGTGTCTGTGCTATGTTGAGGACTGCTAGAGATCTGGGGAAGGGCCAGGAACTCTCTCTCTAGGCTAACAGGGAGTCAGTCATCAGTGTTTGTCACAGAAGAGGGGCAGGGCCAGGTGGGCAAATGGGGAAGATCCTCGTGGACTGGGGATGGGCAGGCAGGAGTGGCAGCAGGGGGGAAATGATGGTCGGTGTCCAACAGGAGGGGAACATACAGAGCTAGTTGGGAGAGATTCAGGAGGCAGAGCCCAAAAGACAGCTCTGGCTGTCTGGGTAAGAGAGGGGAAGCCAGCGTGTGTCCCTGGGCAGAGAGTGGGGCCTCCACTGGGATGCCTGGGGAGGAGGGATGTGTTGGACACACAGAATAGGTACATGGAGCTCTGGAAGGAAAATTTAAGGAGGCATGGACCCTCAGGCCCTGACCCTTCATGTGCATGACCTCAGGAGTGAGGACCTCCTTAAATTTGCACCTGAACCATCTATCTTGCCTCATCCTAGTCCCAGCCCAAGTCCAGAGAGCTCCCCAAAGGCAAGGTCACAGTTGGGTTTAGAGACCCAGTGATCCCTGTGATCAAGGTAAGACACAGGCAGGTGCAGGTGGCAGACAATGAGGGGACTGAGGAATGGGGGAAGGTGAGAAACAAGGACCGCAAATGTACAAATGGTCATCAGGGGGTAGAAAAGGAGAGAGATCTCTGAACACTCTCAGGAAGGAGGCTGAGCTGCCAGATAGAGTGGGACTAGTGGTGCATATCATTTATTCACTTTGGCCTCAGCTCCTGTCATTGTCACTGTACACAAGGGCACTCCCTGGCCATGGGGTACCTTTGGGCTTTAGACCTCTTGCTTTGAGCTCAGGGGAGAAGGAAGAAGCTTGTTGTATTGACTGCCCACCCCCAGTTCCCCATGCTCAGGGCCAGACTATCCCCAGAGTGGGTGAGAGTGGGGAGACAGGAGGAGTGGGCCAGACACCATTTCACCCCTGCAGGCACCTCAGACCTGACCTCCATGTTTTTCCTCCTCCATGTTTCAGGATATGGAGAAAAGTAAGGAGGGTATCTGCTCAGCTTGGAGGTGGGTGGCTGTGGCAGCAGGGAAATGATGCCAGTAACGTGCCTGCCAAGACAGCAAAGGGCCTGGGGCACATGCCCAGCCCCTCCCTATGATCCAAGAACAGTCATTACCCCCATTTCACAGATGATGATGAGGCTAGGGAGGTTAAGCAGGGAAGTGGCAGAGCAGGATTTGAATCTGGATCTGTCCAAGAACTCTCCTGTTCTATATGAGAGCAACCGAGCCTAAAGGAGAGAGGGATGGACATAGTGGCAGCCAGTTGAAGGTGGAATAATAGCCCTGGTGCTTCTGACTGTGCCAAGGACTTTGTCCAGTTTCTCCCAGGGATGAAAGGGAGAGAGTTCCTGGGCAGTCTTTGGAGAGATCCAGGCAGGGCTGTGGGCCCAAGGGACCTGGCTCTGCAGAGGACTTAGAAAATCGGAGCGGTTTTATAATAATTATCCAGAGGCAGCCAAGAATCCTCTCTCTCTGAGTCCCTTCCCTTAATTTATTTCTTAAATCTAAAACTATTTTAATGATGAAAGTGGCCTCTTTATGTTATAATCACAGCCCAAGATTTGTCCCTATTACATCCAAATGGGATGTCCCAGCTGTATTCTCCAGCAAACCTATCCTCAAGGGACCCAGGACTGGGTCTTGAGTCTTGGAGTCCTCATCCAGGGCAAGATTGCCTTCTAGAGGTGATGCTGGGCACAATTGGAAACACCAGAGACAAGATGGACTCTACTTGCTCCCAAGATCCCAGAGAATCCCTGGATGGTCTTTGGAGAGGTCCAGGCAGGGCTGTGGGCCCAAGGGAACAGCCACAACATGCTGAGTCTGTGCCCAGGCTAGGGGTATAGGCTTCCTTCCAAAGTACTTCCTGGAGGAAGCAGGCTCTGGGTCCCAGAGTGGGTTGCTTCTTTGGGGTGGGTCTCAGGAGGTGGGGTGGCTATGAAGACCTGGCGCATATGGAGCTCCTTCTGCAGAGGGCTTGCTCCCAACCACATGGTTGCCACAATAGCTGCTGCTGCAGAGACATAGGGGTGTCCCCTAAGGACCAGTCATGGATACCCATCTGCTAGGGTGCTCATCAGCAGGGAGAGTGCTCTGAGCACTGACTAGGGACAGGGACAGAGAGGGCACTGAGGCAGAGACTGCAAGGTAACCTAACAGAGTTGGTGCCTAGGAGGGGCCACAGCTGATGTCTAAGCTTAGAGGGGCTGGAGCAGAGCAGAAGAATTTCGGCTGTAGTTGGAGCTGGCCCTGAGGTTGGAGAAGGATGCTAGTCAATCATATCTGCCCAGCCTGGGCATTTGGGGAGACTCCCTTGTCCATGACCCCCAACTCTAAGGCCACCCTCAAAGCAAAATTACTGCCATTTGGTTAAGATTTAGTGGCAGGAGGATATGACTCTTGAAGCATAGGATGTTCTGGCATTTGTCCCCCAACCAGAGGCAGGGCCTGGGCAATGTATCCATTTTGGAGTCCTACCTGCTCACAAACCCTAGGACAGACATACCAGCTCATACTTGAGTTTCATATCATGGTCACTCAAGCCCTCTGAAGCTTGTTTCCTCCTCTCTGAAACGGAAATGACATAAAGTGAGCTGTATCTGCAATTTGAAATTTTCTAATAGCCATATCAAAAATACTGACTAGCCATATATCATGTGCTCAAAAGCCATATGTGGCTGAGTGTAGTGTCATGCACCTATAGTCCCAGCTCCCAGCTCCTCCCTCCTGGAGGCCAGAAGTTCAAGGCTGCAGTAAGCTATAACCTATGAACAGCCACTACACTCCATCCTGGGTGACACTGTGATACCCTATCTCCATTTATTTATTTATTTATTCTTTGTGAAAAGGCCATATGTGGCCAGCGGTTACCATATTGGAAAGTGTAGTCCTAAATGAATGTCACCCTTTACAGGGCCATCTGCTGGCAAAGTGTCTGCAAAGGTCCTCTGGCTGGGCCTGCAGCCAGACAAAGTGGTAGCAGGAATGAATGAGTCAGATCTGCTTCCGGCCTCTGTCCTCCACAAGAGTGGTCTTAGAATATTTGATGTCAAGTTGGCTCCCTCTGCCAGGGCTTTCCTCCCCAGGGAAGCCTCTCTAACTCTGATGCCACCCAGTGGGCCCCCAAGCCACTACAAGAACTTTTCTGTTCTACCAGAAGAAAGGCCAAGACCTTTAGCCAGGAACTGACCACAGGAGAATTCTGAGAGTCAGGGGAGGTGCTAACTTTCCTGAGAAGGTATCTGGCTTGATCTAGGAGATTGGCTTAGTTTAGGAAGCTTTCCTGGAGAAGGGGCCCTGAGCAAAGAAGCTGGCATCCCAGGACAGGGACTGAGAGCAGTGAACATTTACCAGATAGCAAGGAGAAAGGTCTGGCTCAGGCCCAGTATCAACAAAGAGTGGAAGTGTGGCTGGGGACACAGGTCTTCTAGGCTGCTGAGACGTCAAATGCAAGCTTTAGCCTTACACTCAGGGGCTGTGAGGGTCACTGGAGGTCTAAAGCAAGAGCCGAGGACCTCCTAGGCTGGCAGAAGAGGACTCTTCCTGAGGCTTAGAAAGGCCTAGGTACCAATTGCCCCAACACCACCTTCTGACACCAGCTTGAGTGTAAGTTCTGGCAGGTGCAATTCCTCAGCTCCTCCTGCTGCCCCTCTTCTATCCTGTGGTGTGAACTCAGGACTGGAGCCTAGCAGTTTCTATCTGGCAGTTTATGAGTCTAATCTAAATCCCTGCAGCTGCAACCTAAGTGTTTTTGTCTTCAGGGACATGAGAGAGTGAGCAGGTAGCTTCTTTATTCCCACTGAACTGCCCTCCTGGGACCAGCCTTTCGAGAAAGGCCTGGGGGCACACGGGCCCCAGGGTTACCTGGGATCCCAGGAGTCCCTCAGGTTTTCGGGAAGAAGAACTCGATGCTCTTTCTCTGCCTCCTCTCTCACCTCTCACCCTGACCATAGGTGTTGGGCACAGGAGTCTCGGGAGGGCATATTGCAATGTCTCTCCAGTTCCCAAGGGAACTGGGCAGTGGGACCTTGCTATTGCCAGTCCTGAGTGTTCAGGAGTAGGGTTTGAGGGGTATGAGTTCTTCAGCCAGAGCAAGCCACAGCGGGGATGAACAAGCCACCTAGGGAATCTCAGGGCACCTGCACTGACCTTATCATACAGATAGACCAGCTGAGGCCCAAAGGGAACAGAATCTGCTGAAGTGAGTTGGCATGAGATTTATGACTCCCAGTCCAGGAAAGCCTTATGTATCAGAAAGACCCTTACTGTAAATACTTCCCTGCCAGCTTGTCATGGCATCAGTAGAGCCATGTCCTGCCTCTGGAGCTTCATTGCTCAGTTAAGACATGGTCCTTTGTTGAATATAGATGTTTCTAGGAGGGGCACACAGTCAATAACACTTTATTGGAGAATGATTTTGTGCTACCTTCTCAGTTTGCTGTGTGACCTCATTCTAAGCCTCAGTTTCCCCATTTGTAAAATGTGTCAATGGGAGGGCTAAAAGCCCTCAGGCAGACATTGAGGAAGGAGAGAAAGCAAATTTCCCAGAGCAGGGCCAGACTCATGGACTGGTAGGGGGCAAACACATCTCAGGCTGTGGGGTTACCCGTCTGTGTCCCCTACACTGGAAGGGGAGGTAGTACTGGGCCAAAATCAGCAGGGGTCTGTAACTGGAAGAACCACCCAAGCCCCCAGGACTTTGCCGGTCAATGTGACAGGAGAATTTGTGGGCTGAATTTCCTAGAAGCCCAATCTAATGGGCTGGATTTAATTGATTCACAGAAAATAAAAAGATTCTATATTTTTCACATATCCAAGACCATGAACCATGACCTATACAACAACAAGGTCTGTACTTTGGGAGAAGTCAATGCTTGGAAATGATTTCTGTCCTGGAGGGCAGGGCTCTAATGGTATCGTTCC